TCATACATTCCTCTCATATTTTTGGAGGGGTGGGTTTACATATATTAAGTTATATATAAACCTTTCCCTCATAATTCTACATACATTGCTTCATTTAGTGTTGTGGATGAGAGTTCTGATGCCAAATTAGAAATGATATCAGCCTAATGGTCTTTATTTTGTAGATTTTATTTAATAAAATCCAAGGGTTCATAGGATTTTCTTTTTATCTTTGGATTTGAGAAACGTCAGAAATTAATTTTTTCACATATATTGTCTAGTGCTTGGTAACTCTTTCAATTTGAAGAATTAAGTCCAGTGAAATTTTCTTCTACCGTTTCTTTGATTTTTGCATCTCCAGTGGTTATATTTTCTTCTAATTCATTATTTTGATTTTCAGCACTTTTCAAACTATTATAACCTCTTTTGGCAACATATAGAATTCAATAAAAATTTTTAGTTTTGTGAGAGCAGATCGCAGGTACAGAGTAACAGTGGCTTGAAAACAATAAAAAGAGAGTTTTGTGAGGAGAGATGGAAAATACTAGGAGTTCGGGTGGGTCTATAGGTAGCTTTAGGCACATCCCAGGCTTCATCATTCATCAACTCTAACACTGGTGTTTGCATAGCCTCATTTGTAAAGTGTAAAAAACATAATGTTCTTTATGGTATAGTTACACATATTAGATTATCACAACTTTTTGGAAAAAAAAAATCAGATACTTTACTGACATGCTTTTCTTCATTCTTTAGAACAACACAAGAGTTGGGCTTATTACCATGATTCTATATTGCTCAGATGAGGATATTGAGACTCTTAGGAGTTAAATATTAAGTGTTTTTAATGCCCAATACTCTGTAGCTAATTAGAATTAAAGCAAGGATTTATATAAAAATCTGAAACAATCCCTCTCAACCCACTTGAAATATTTAAATAATTTAAATAATTATTCAATTGAATTTAAGGCAAATGTGTTACTATTTGAATGGATCTGTATGTGATTTGATTGATGCCATTTTGAAAATCGTATTCTATTTATGCTACACTTGCTAAAATACAGTAAGGACACAGTTACCCACACAGTAAAATCTGGATCCACAAATAAAACCAAGCAAGACCTAACTTAAAGGTTAAAAAAATGAGTTCATTTGTCAGCCTCAGTGGTTCTGTAAAATCTCTGGAATTCAATGCAAATATGAATTGTATGCTTTTCTCTGGGATTCTACTGCTTTCATAAATGGGTGAGCGACCCATGTTGGTTAAAAATTATAGGTTTGATATCTGCCTCCCTAAAACTCTAGTCATATGACAAATCATTAGAGAAGGAAAACCAATATAGCTTCATGTGCAAAAAACAGATTACAGGCATACTTCATTTTGTGCTTCACTAATGTGTGTTTTTACAAATTGAAGGCAAGACCCTCCACCAGCAAAAAGATTACAACTCACTTTATTGCAATAATCGCTTTTTGTGGTGGTCTGGAACCAGACCCACAATATCTCTGAAGTATGCCCGTATTTAATGAATCCGTATTTCTTGGAAGAAATTCAGTCAAAAATTCAATTAACACTGATCATCTAAAATGAGTACCATTTAAACTAATCATTAAACCTAGGGAGTGGCCTTATGTGGTAAGTAGGTGGGGCCTGAACTTTCTCCAGCTGTGTATAAATGGACTCATTTTTGCTTAAGTCAGACATTGGAGCTGACTTCTTAGTTGCATAAACATTGAAGGTTAGAAGACAAGGATGCCTCTGAACATGTCGTGACCCTCTTACCATGCAAACCAGAGTCAGCCCTCTATGATAAGTCTCAGTCAGACACTGCAGTCTGAGAATTGCCCACTCATTCAGTGATGATGAGAATTTATCTGCTGAATACAGCTACAGACTGAGATTTCATGGTCTCGTACAATATCAAGGCGCAGGCCTAGGTCAGAGCCATAGGGGTTTGTATCATCTCAAGGAACTAACTTTAAAAAAGACAGACTGCAAGTCTGAGGCCTGGTGAATTGGCTTCAGGAAATGTATATATTTGATGAGTTCGATTGTTCTGAAGCTCTGAGAATCCTCTGTGAGCTCTGCCCTCTGTGACTGAATCCCGATGTTAACACCAAGGAGTTGGTTCTTGATAAATTGGTGATAGAACAATTGTGACTTCTGTATGGAGAGTTGTGAAGAGCTGGAGGACATATTGGAAGACACCATATCTTATAGTCCAGGATCTTCAGCTGCAGAATGGTTTTGATTCTGTAAAAGTGAATGGTGTAAAGAATTGTAAAAAAGGAATTTATTCTAAAAGTTTGGGTGTTGAGATATCTTTTTCCTAAGCTTTAGAGGAAGAAGATTCTAGAAACTCAGTGTCAATAGAGAAGGTTGTCAGAGAATGTGAGCCATCCTAAAGGAAGAAGACAAGGCAATACCTCTTCCTAAAGAGGGCTCAAAGAGATGCCATGCAATCAGATCTTCCTAAAACAACTGCAGTTCATTCCAATTTTTTTTAAAATTTACTTTTTAATTTTTATTGAGTCACAGTGGGATAAACTGGCCATATTGTTGGTCAAAATAAAGTACCATGGAATTGACACAGTAACAATGTAGGGTATGTGAGAAAAGCTAAATCTCAGTTTGATATCCATCAGAGAACACACGCAGGAGAGAGAATCTTAGGGGAAAGGCTTCATGCGGTGTTGAGACCTCTGTGTTCACCAGAGAATCCACATAGGAGAGAAAGAAACTGTACACGTGTGATGCCTGTCACAAAAGATTCACGAGTCTACATTGCATGGTGATAAGAAGATCCATATGAAAGAGAAAATGTACTATCATAAAGATTCTGGAAAATGCTTCAACTGCAGGGGAAACCTCAAGGCTCACCAAAGAATCCACTTAGGAACTAAACCATATGAATGTCTCCAGCAGTGCTGGGAAATAGAAATATAATGGGAGCCACGAATGTGAGTCACATATGTAATTCAAAAATTTTCTAGTAGCCACATTAAAAAGTAAGACGAAACAGGTGATATTAATTTTAACAATGTATTTTATGTAACTCCATATATCAAAAATATTACTTCAATATGTAATCAATGTAAAACATTATATATGATATTTTATATTCTTCTTTGTGTCCTGTCTTTGAAATCCAATGTGTATTTTATACTTACAGCACATCTCAGTTTGGATTAGCCACATTATAAGTGCTCAGTAGCCACATGTGGCAATTTGCTGCTGTATTGGACAGTGGTGCCAAATCTTTTTTCATTTGGAAAACTTTAAATGCCATAAAATAGTACACTCAATAACACCTCACATAATTACACCAAATGATATCAGTTGATTAAGTCCAAGTCTTGTCCTAGCTCCAAAATAAAGTTAATAGTGATTTGTAACCTACTATTTTCTGGATAGTAAATGACATAATACATGGTAAGCACTTAGGAGAGTACTTAGCTTACAATAGCTGCTTCTAAATATTAACAACCATGACTAAACTATAATTACCTTTTTTCATTTAACAAATTTTTTTTTTTTTAAATTTCTAGTATTTCTAGTTCCCTGGGAGATCCTTATTTAAAAAGGGCAGGGCAATTTGTGACAACATGGATGAATCTGGAGGGCATTATGTTAAGTGAAATAAGCCAGAAAGAGAAAGACAAATACTTTATGGTATCACTTACATGTGGAATTTTAAATTAAAAAAAAAAGTCAAACTCATAAAACTGAGAGTTGAATGGTGGTTGCCAAGGGGTGGATGTTGTGTGTGAAGGAAGTGGGAAGAGGTTGGCCAGAGGGCACAAACTTCCAATTATAAGATGGAAGTTCTGAGGCTCTAACTGCAGCAAGCTGACTGTAGTTAACAATATTGTATTATACACTTGAAATATGCTGAGAGAAGAATTTAAGTATTCTCACCCCCCCAAAAAAATCAATAAATGATACCACAATTATTTAACTATGTATCCAAATACTGTATATTCCAAAATTATTAAATTAAGATATAAAATAAATAAAGAGCTAGAAAAAGATATTACCATAAATTGGGAGAATGTGAATTGACTGGGCACTGCCATGGGGGAGGGCCCAGTGATGGCTCCTTTGCCGTCCTCCCCTCTGCGTCCTCTGTCTTCTCCCTGTCCCAGAACTGGGTAGAGGCAGAGCTCGGGAACGAGGCACAAGCCCTACTTCACTGGCATTACTGTGGTTCTCTCTTGGCTATTGCAGTTAAAAAAAAAATAGCCATGTGAGGCCATGGATGTATTAATTAACTTGATGATGGCAATCGTTTCACAATGTCTAGTACATATATTACATTGTACATTTTAAATCTATTACAATTGTATTTGTGAATTTCACCTCAGTAAAGCTAAAGCTGGGGAAAACAAACCATTTCACAATTAAAAATTAATAACAAGGAAAAAATAAAACAAGAAGGGCAGGCTGTTCTTCTTTTTGATATATTATCCTCTTATTCCTTATTCCTCTTAGAGGAATAAAAAAAATTTCAAGTTCTATTCCCCACTCCCATTTACTTTGTTTTAATGGGGGTTATTTGTTCTGATTGGTCCCTTGGCCCACTTTTTTGAATGGCTGATTCATTTCATATGTCTGGTTATTCATATGTCTGGAATAATAATTCATGGTCTGCAAATATTTATTATTGAAGGACTTGATTATTCGGGATGGGTAACTGGCATGGTCATTGCCTGCAGTTATATGGGCTAATATTTTTTTTTCCTGATTGATTTTCCCCCCGAGTGTGTGTAAGGAGGTGATTGATAAGTTGGTGGTTTGATTCCTCGGCTCTCCTTCTCCTTTAAATGTGCTGGGTGGGAGCTGTCTGCTTGTAGGCCTCTTCTTGGCTGTGCTGTAGAGTGAGCTGGGTGCTTGTGGGTGGCTACTGTTCAGTGTGGTTGGCAAGTATTCAGTTATTTAAAAATGGGAGGATTAAGCCCCTCATTGGAATATTTACTGTATGTATGTTTATAACATTGAACATATTGTTACATTTTTTTCACAGGAATACACAGGGCTTGATAAAAACCATTATGAAATTATTACGAATGCAGGCTCTTAAGGAAGGACAAGCTGGGGAGAAGGATGTTCAGGATATGTATACTATTAGGTAAGCCTTGCCTCCTTTGTTTAAAAAACATGTTTTTTATTGTATGAATTATTAATTAAGGTATGAACTGAGACATGCTAATCCGTTAAGAGATAGTTGTTTAGTTCAGCAGAGATTGAGCACATGTACTTAGAGCAGGAGGGTAAACTTCCTCACCGTGAAAATAATAGGAGACTTGCCAATGGTTATTACCCAGTGCGAGGTCAGTAGTTAGGAGCATCGATTTGCCTTTTCTTTGTCATCTATAGAATGTAACATGGTAGAATTATTCTAAAAAGAAAATACACACAGCAGCAATTATAGTGAAATGCATTGGATTTTATGGGAGAATTTGGACAAGGGAGGGCATCATCCTTATTTGCAGGTGCCCTTAACCATTGCCTTGAAGGTCCCGGAAAGCCATTTCTTAAGAGCTCCCACTTAATAAGCAGAGGACCCCAGAGGATGCCATGCAACCAATGTGGAATGTCCTAGGAGCTCTGTCTGTTCAGTGATGCATCCGGAATGTGCCTGCTTCAAAATAATGAGAACCTGGGACTATTAACAATGGCACTGGTTCATGGGGAAAAATGGCTTACGTGGGCTGTGGCAATTCAACAGGGAATGTAAATCAGATACTTGTGAACCTTCAATGGCTTGAGCCTACAACACCTGCAGTTTTGCGATACCACAGCAATCAGAAGCTGTGAGAGAGTCTGTCCAAAATGCCGAGTGATGCCTATTACTTATGTATATTTATATTGTTTTCCTTTTGAGAATAAGTATACAGCGTCTCATATATTACAATGATCTTTCCTGAAATTTTAGTGCTATTTGTGATCTATTTTATTTTTGTGAATATGTTATTGAAAGTTTCTTAAGCCAAGTTTTTTCTTTATTTTTTTTTAGATGTGTTAAAAATTGGGGTCTTTTTAACATATCAGCACTTCCAATATTTCTTTATTGATTACTTTCCCTTTAATAGCTCTTTCTTTTTCCTGCCATGACTTAATACCCATGACAACAGAGCACTTAGGAAATTATTATTTATTTTAAGGGTGTAATGTATTCATACAATGTGTACGAATGTTGTACACCTTACATTTACACAGTTATATGTCAAATATATATATTTTTTTGTTGCGCCATCTTCTCCCTTAAGCCAATTTTTCTTAACAAGGTTAGATTTGCATTTTATATATTTGTTTCTTAACATGTTTTTTTAATGTCTTCAAACATACAGAAAAGTTGGAAGAATGCAGTACAATGAATTAACTCATTAATTTATTTGTTAACTCAGTTTATTTGTACATAGGGGAAGCAAAAGAAAAATTATTTACTATTTGAAAATACTGTGGAAACTTGGAGTGTACAGGGTAAACTTTTCCAAATTGATAATGCTTTTTGTTTTTTTAACGTAGTGGTGACCCCTGACATACAAAGTTTCCTGCATGCTTTACCTTGATCAGAATTGAACCTAAGGAGTAGATGGGCAGATATTAATATTTCTAGATGAGTCACATAAACATCTGCTTTTTTTTCCTCTCTCTTTTTTAAAAGAAGTTCAAACTCTTGGGCCTAAGTTTCAGGATAGTAAATAATTTCACTTCATTGTTGTTCAGTGGAGGTTATTTATTTTAAAACAGGAAAGCTATTGAAGTTTCTGGTTTTTTGTATAACAGCTTCATTGACATATAATTCACACACCATACGATTGACTCATTTAAAGTATAAACTTCCCATGTTTTTTAGTATATTCATATAATTAAGCAATCATCACCATAATCAATTCTAGGACATTTTCATCATTCCAGAAAGAAATTCCTTGCCCATTAGTGGCTGCTCCATGTTTCTGTAGCTGGTGGGGTGTTTTTAATTCAATGGTTCTCATCCCTGGCTGCTCATTAGAACCACCTGGATTTGGAACCTAGGAACAATCCAATACCCCCGATCAACTGAATCAGAATCTTGGTGGTGAGGCCCAGGCATTTATAGTTTTAAAAAGGTCCCAGGTGATTCTGAGTACAAGATGGTATGTTAGCTGTTCTCTAATATGAATTCTAATCATTTGGGACCTTGTTGAACGGCAGACTGTCTTTCCTGAGTTCTAGGATGGGCTCCAGAGTCTGCTCCGACAAGCTCCCAGGTGGTCCACACCCCCCCCCCCTCCCCCAGCCCGCACACTATAAGTAGCAGCAGACCTGCGAGCAGCTTCAGCAATGGCTGGGAGCTTGTGGGGAATGCGGAATCTCCGACCCTGTCTCAGGCCACCTGAATCAGAGCCTGCATTTGAGTAACGTTTCCCAGGTAATTCCGAGGCACCTTAAAGTTTAAGAAGCCCTGATTTAGATGATGGTAAAAGGAAATTTTCTATCATGCAAATCAATTAGAGTTCCTTTTATTTTCATGCTGACTGTCCTCAATGTGTGTGTGAGAACTTCAGTCATCTGTAATATTTCCCTTGTTTTCCTACTTACAATTTATATTCTCCTGCAGTTGGTTCTTCTAACTGCCGTCTTGTTTTCAAAAGATAATAGGTGCCAGGTGTGGATAGGAGCCTAGTTTGAGGAGCTGAAAGCATATCGGCTACATAAGGTTTGTCGTTAGATTGGTGGCACATTAAGAGGTCCAGAATCAATCACCTGAGTTGGCATAATCCAGTAATGTTTATGGAGAGCCCTTATGTGAATGGCTGTTTGGCACTATAAATCAGTAGAGTGTAATCGAGTGTATAAGAGCCTTAAGTTCCTCCAGGGGGATTGTGGATGGCAGAAACAGGAGAGGTGAGCCTGAAGAGCAGATTCCCTCAAGAGAGCTATGATTACCTGAGTCAAGCATAAAATTGTCACGCTGTTTTAGAGCCTTCTTTACCACATGTTGGGTAGCAATATCACCCACACTTGGAGAGGCAACTGATGAGCTGTGTTTGAAAGCATAAAAGGATACGAGAACTCCACCAAGAGGTGGGCCCTGGTTATGTTGTAGGATTAATTTTAAATGGAAGTAGTAGGAAACATAATTGTAAGTTTTCTGGGCTTGAAACTAATCTGGACTTTTATGGTATTAAGGACTCTGCGAGTAGACAGTTGGGGTTTAAGTGTTTCTCACTTTTTTTTTTGTCTGAAGAGTTGACTAATTTCACTTATAATAAATCAGAATATGTGTTCATTTTAACTGAGTCTGTACTGAATTGCATAACTCATGCCAGTACAGGAGTGAAGACAGAGGGAACTGGGAGAACCTGAAATGTTAGCCAATGGCTTCCCTTGGTTCCTGTGAATTTCCTGAAGGCGCTCTAGAGAGGGTATTCTCTTTGTTGAACCTGGACCTCAGTGTTTCTCAAACTTCCTGTGCATAAGAACCATCAGAGGAGCTTGTTAAAAGTGCAACTTCTCAAGCCCACTTGCCAGAGAGTGTCATTTATTCAGTAGGTTTTGCGTGAGATTCAGAATCATCATGTTTGTCTGGCTGCTCAGTGATATGGATATAGGTTGTTGTGGATCACACTTGAGAAGTACTGCTTGAGCCCCGGGGAGCTTAATGGTACCACATATAAGCTGCAAGGAACCCCTTGGGGATAGACCAGAGGGTTCTTGAGTGGCTTAATCATGTCCCCTTGCCTCTGTTCCCTATTTGGGAGGCATAAGGTCTGCATGTTTCTAAGCACCGAGACATCAAGTTCATCTTACCACGTCCATTATGGACAATAGAGAGGCCAAGAGCAGAACCAAAGAACAATTCTAAAGGAAAAACAATCCAAAGAGAGCAAGCCAAGTGCAAATACAAGTGGAGAATGTAAGAGATTTAAACCTCGCTCTGTTCAATAAAATAATTTCATGACCCGGACACGGTAGTGTTCTTCCTGATCAGTTGATGGATGGTTGTAGGAGCAGGAGGGGAAGGGCACTCTCAGCACCACTTAGAATCTGGCACTGGTTTTCAGTGCTTACATTGCATAAGCAGCTCGCCCTCAGAATGTGTGGTATATATGTGTGGAATGTGCCTGGAAACCTGCATTTTAATAAGAGTTTTGGATGTACAGGTGGTCGATTGACCACGCTTTGAGATACACTAGGTTAGAGTGTGTATAGCTAATAAAGCTCAGATTGCTCAACTGGGCCCTTCTTTAGTTTTGCGATTTAAGATTAAATGGGAATATTTAAATAGGGTTTCAACTCCAAGTGCTTTTGTAAAAATTTTTTTTCAATATTTTTTTTAATTAGTTTCAGGTGTACAGCACAGTGCAATAGTTATACTTTTTACCCCTCACAAAGTGACAATCCCCCTCCCCCAATCTATGCCCCACTGCCCCCCAATATCATTCATATCTATTACAATTCCATTGACTCCACTCCCCGCACTATACTTCACATCCTGTGACTATATATATATATATATATATATATATATATATATATATAAAATTATAGTTGGCATACAATATTATTCAACGCCAGCTTCAGGTGTACAGTGCAGTGATCAAGCCTCTACCCCATCCATGAA